GCTGCCACTGGAAAAATATCTTACCGGCTCAGTTGTCACAGTATTTGAACACTAATCAAAATATTATATTTGAAATCATTTTGTACATTAAAAAAAAAAAAAAAAACCACATGTTGAACATCTCATCTCCACGTCTCCACGGGACATCACATAATACTCCAGTACCTACTGCAGTACATTCTGGGGTATGCAAAAAATCCGGTAAATGGAAAATACCTTGGTTAAAAATGTGCTTTAATCAGTACATGTACTTCTGGCATATTATGCCACCACCTCACCCCTCTCTCTCCCTCCCTCTCTCCCTCCCTCTCTCTCTCTCCAGCTCATATTTATATTAAAAAACACACACATACACAGTACAATAAAGCAGAATTATAACGTACTTTAAAGCGTGGCGGATTAACGCGTGGTCACCAGAGCCACTCTTCAGTCCGCATTGTCCTATTGTCAAAGACTCGTGGAACTGGAGACTGGATGAAAGGGGTTTTTTTTCATTATTGAAATGCCCCCGTGGAGCCGCTTTAAACAAAACAAGTACAAGTACAAGTACAAGTACAAGTACAAGTACTCACACAAACACTACACATTACCTGAAACTGCGGTCCGAGCAGTTGGTCCAGAATGACGGTTCGGTCTTGATGGTAGAAAAAGTGTTTTGTCCTTGAGCGACTGCACTTTGGTATCTTTCCACTTGGCCATACCCTTGCGCCATGGCTGCTCGAATGCTGCCACTTTTCCCGAACTGCTCGCCCTTGTTGTACCACACACAGCGGCATTCGTGCCCGGTTCCGTTAGGAGTTTCCCCCAAATGGCAGAATTTGCACAACACGGTATGTGCGCCATAGGCGACGCTCTCCGGTTCGCCTCGAACGCCGTACGCGCGCTCGTTCGAGCACCATTCCCCCTGAGCGTCTCTGTGCAGACTCGGGTGGGAAGAGTAGGCAGAGTACTGTCTCAGCGGCCGGAGCTCGTCCACCTGAGAGGCGGCGGGCAGCTCCAGACCGGGGCCGCTGAACAAGTTTGATTCTTTGCACACGTATCTGGAGACCACCGGGCCGCGCGTCACCGGCTGTGCGCCCTCGGTGTCCTCCGACCGGAGCATATCGATGCAACTCACCTGCTCCAAGTCGTGGCACACTTCTCCAAACTCGTCCTCGTGTGAACTCCGGCGCGAGTTCATGTTTACGGCCGCTCCAAACTGCGGCACCACCACTCGGGTGGAATAGTCCGACTCCGTGAAGCCGCCGCTGGAGCAAAGGTTCATGTTGTTGAGCGGAGAAGACACCGAGTCCAGACCCAAGGACACGGACACTGCTTTACTCAGTTCAGCCGTGCTCGGGCACACATAGGGGTCCGCGGCGTCCCGGCGGTCCTGCTCATTCATTATTAAAGATTTAGACGTGTCTAGCATTTCTGACGTGCTCGGGTGGAAGGCCATGTTCGGCTCGCGTCGCTACAGTTGAAACAGTGCGCTGGTTGCGTAGAGAACAAATAAAACAACACTTTCCGGTGGAGAGAACGCCTACCCACTGAGCCCCCGCGCGTCTGTCTCAGTGGAGAGGCTGAGGCATCGACGTAGGTTCTCGTCCGCGGTAGGGACGTCCCATCGAGCTGAGCAGCTAGTGCAGAGCTGCTGAACTTTTACTCCTCTCCGGCCACAGAACGGCCGAGTTCCGACTTGTGAGCTCGGGAGTCGGACTCAGCGGCGCAGCCACGTTTACAGACACCGTGTAATTCGCCACCAGGAGCCATTTACGCTCAGATCGTAACTTATTATCTTATTTGAAACCCCCAGCATCGCGCCACAGCTTATTTGAATGCAGCGCAGGTCGAAATATCGCGAGACTTGCGACAGCAAGCGCTTCTCCACCTTTTAACAGTTTTTGTTTGTGAAAAGACTTCTGGGTTTTGACATGAAATTAAAATAAAATTCCAGGAATCAGTAACGGGGGAGAAGCAGGTTGGGGTTCATAAATATGTACACAGTTAATATCGTAATGAAATTACAAAAACAAACCAACAAACAAGAGCGCTGTGTCATCGGTGTCTAATTTATACAACTGTAAATAAAAAGAATGAATTATTTGAATCGTTTTTTTTTGACAACAATTGAAGAGAAAGCGTAAAATAATTAAGAAAAACAATTAAAAATTAAAAATATTTGTTTTTTGTAAGAATTATTCAAAAAAATGAAGGAGACTGGATTTTATGATAATTAATTTAGTTAATTAAGTTTGATTTATTTTAGTAATGAAATATTGGTATTTTTTTTAAATTATGGCAATAATGTATTGCCATTTATATATATATATATATATTGCACAGCCTGGACCTGGTAGGTACACGCTCCTTCATTTTAGAACCACAGGGCTGGTTGCTGCGTCATCAGTGTCTATTGTACTAATTTTTGTTACACAAGACATTTTTTTTAGTCTCTGGTGGAAGAAAAATAAAGAGAAAAATAAATAAATAAAAAATTACAGCGATGCAGAGAAAATATCACACTTCACCAACCATATCTATATATATTTAGAATATATGTATATACATATATATATATATATTTGATTTCTGAACGGTTTAAATATAATATGTAAATATTTTTAAAACCCTAAATACTCCCTGGAGTGCCCTCAAGTACCCTGTCCCAGTACCCACCCCCCAGGGTACGCATGCTGCCATTTGAGAAACACAGAGAGCCTAAAAACTAAAACTAATAATAATAATAATAATAATAATAATAAT